TATTTCGATACTTATTAATACAAAGATCGAACACTCAAAAAAAATTCCTTCGATCCGGCCGGATTCGAACCGACGTCTTCTAGCTTATAGTGCCAGACGCTATACCAACTAAGCCACGGAACGAACCAACGGACCTCACGAATTCTTCTATGCGCTTGGGTCGTGTTTTAGTATTTGGTTTTTCAACTCGTCGCGCCATCTATGAGAAATCTATGAAAGATTTATCACCCAGTTAGTACCTTTACAGCTACCAGTCCTGGCGAGAGATGTCGCTATTCACTGTATTAAAAATTGTTCAATATTATTTTATTTTTCAATATTCAATTCAATAAACTGATATTTAATTTTTTTTTGTGAAATTACTCCACTAGTTTGTTATAATTATTAATACAAAGACCGAACACTCAGAAAAAGCGTCTGGCACGGTATACTAGAAGACGTCGGTTCGAATCCGGCCGGATCGAAGGGATTTTTTCTGAGTGTTCGATCTTTGTATTAATAATTATAACAAACTAGTGGAGTAATTTCATAAAAAATAATTGAATATCAATTCAATAAACTACAACAAACTAAACACTGCCATATTAATTGTAGAATATCTTAACTTCACACAGATTACCCAGCACTCTCGTTACACTACATTAAGAAATATAATTCATGATAAGAAATTTATACTGCCCATATTCAACAACTATTATTTGCAAAATGCATATATTTGTTACCTACATTAATGAATAAAATCAATGAGGAATTTATCTGTAATTATCAAAACACTTCAAATCATATATTAAGAAACATGATGAACAAGTCGTGCGCCCGGTGGTAAGCGACACTCCTGACCTTGACAGTTGCAGTGCAGTGAGAATTCAATCACAAAGATCTGAGGGGCACTGCCATTGCACCCATCACCCTGAGATATAAGTTGAAAAGGCCCATGTGCTTGTAATTTCACAATCAATTTTGTATGAGATGTAATTAGCGTTTTTGTACCTGTCTCATCGTAATTATGTTAGTTTTTGTGCAACATGCTAGGACGCCAGTTTTTTAATTTTATTTATATTCTTTTCCACGCATGGCTGTTGCAACCACTAAGAGCTTTAATCGCAAAGATGTGAGGGGTCCATCACTCATGAACATGAAGTTGACAACTTCTATGTTGTTGTCGATACGTATCAATTCCGAATTCGAGAAATGACGGTCCAAAATGTCATAGGGATCATTTTATCTCTAGGTGTACAAGCGATAAAATGATCCCTATGACATTTCGGATTCGGCTGCGCCCATCACCCTGAGACATAAGTTGACAAGTCCTTCAAAACCGGAACACATTAATGCTGACATTACTACTTGGCGGTAGTAATAGGTAAGGTGGCAGTACTAACCTGGACGAACTCTTTCAAAAGGGGTTCTACGGCTACTGTATACGTAATTCAGGTTTTTTTTCAAATGCTGTGACGGTGTGACCTCCTTACGCCGTCATCTCACCTGTTTGTATCGCCTCTCTCCTCTTTTATCTTATAATTTTTTTTATTTTACTTGTATTTAAATTTTAAATTTGAATTGTTTCATCTTCCTTCACTTTCTCATTTTGTTTTCGTACCACGGTCACTCCCAGCTCGACCGCCACAACAGTCAGAGCTGTTAATAAGCTAATCATGTGTAATAATTTATAAGTCTACACCCTTCATGTATCTATTTCTGTAATTCAGTTTCTCGGCCCATTTAGGGGTAAGTGCCTTAATAAAAAAGTGTAGGGAGTGTTTTATACTGTTATACCTGTTTTTTACATTTACCTTTATATTGTTACAGCCTTTCTTTAAACTTTACTTCTTTAATAAATTTTGTGGACCGGAAGTTTCCCATTTCATTGCCGTGAACCTGTTCACGGCTAGTTAGGGTTACAACCCTTTCAATGCTAGCACCCCCTGGACAGCATCAACGCCCCCAATTGCTTTCGATGTCCCTACCGCCCACAGTCTCTCTCTAGAGAGACTAGGAGAGATTAAAAGTCATAGGACAAAAGTTGTGGTTTATGATGTTAGTAATACAGTCCTGCGAGGTTGTTCGTGTTTTAAAAATAACCCTATAATTTAACAGCGACCATTATCTAGTCTGTTACTATAATAATTAATTAAATTAAAAAGGTTATATTTTAGTATTTCTAAACTAGCTGTGCGTGGCATAAGTCGTGTTTGCCTTGGTCTCAGCGTAAGCGCAGGTCTTGGTTAATTTTCGAGATAATATTATGCTACTAATTATACGTATTATTATTAAGTATACGTATGTATATTGAATGAGTATTAATCTGTATCAAAATTGATCAGTGTCTACAGTAATATTGTTCTTCGTCACAACCTTGTAACTAAATATAGTTTTGAATTGAACGGTAATGATAACTTTATTTTTCAAGAGTATTAAGCAAATAATTCAAATTCTTCGACAAATACGATGAACTTAATAAATAACAAAACACCACAGAACAATAAACACATTATTCGATTACAGAACAATTATTAAACATTAAAACAATGGTAATAACAGAGATTAAACACTCAATTACATTGCGGAGGTGTCACTTCATTTTCCAACACAATTTGTACCTATTGAAACATGTGTGCAATGAATTATAATTAAATATCAAACGAAAAGGTGAATTAAATGTTATACTATACAATGCTATCATAGATTATGAGTGTTATGATATAGAAAGGTCAGAAGGAAAAGATTATTTTGCCACGTTGTTTAATGTCTATGAAATTTAAGAGGTCGTATTTTGGATTCTTTGTTCAGCAGGTTTTGAAATTGCCAAGCAGTATTGTGAGCCGTATTGTGAACCGGAAAGCAGTAATCTGCGTGTCACTTGCCACCAGGCGCACGACTTGTTCGTTCCATCAATTTATATCATAAAAAAGTAAGTTTTTTGACAAACAATTTTATACGATACGCAGTAGTAGCTTTTGCAGATCGACTGAAATAAACCAGACTAGATGACGCGGTGATTATGGCATAACCTCCTTTATTGGTGAAACCAATAGTAATATTAGAGAGAAATTGGCTAATGTAGACAATATGATTTGCTGTTATTATGAAAGTGTTCACGAATATTGTTTGAAAATATAGAGGTATGTATAATATATGTATAGAAAATGATAGGTTGCAACACTTAGGCACAAATCATGAGTCAAAGAGCAAAACTATAAAGGATTGGAATGTCTATGATATTTCCATTTTACGAATGTTGCTCATCGGTAAATGTCAGTGCTTTCGCGCGAGAGGAATTCACCTGTTTGGTTGCTTATTGCCAGGTCATAACGAGGTTTACTATTTTTGGAATCGAAAGTCATATTGAACATTAGCGGGTATTTACATGTATTACCTATATGCGTGCTTCGAGGCCGAGCGGTTAGTACGTGGATGGAGTTTTCAGGTTCCGTTCTCGATTTGGGAAATAAATTTTTCTAAATTGGATCTAGTCTATGTATGCTGAGTAATACTTAACCTACTAACCTAGGACTTAATTTTGTCACTCGGGTACTCACAGGGAATTCACTAGATTGAGGCCAGTTAATGGATGTGGTTGTCTGGCACATTGTTATTTATTAATGATGTTTTAAACCGGTTATTGAGTGGACGATCTCGATGTTTCTGAGAAGGAATGGCGCGAAATTGCCAAGGAGAAGAAGCGTGGAAGATTTCGGGAGACCTTTACCCAGCTGTAAGCCAATAGATTAAGTAAAAATAAAATAAACGGTAATTAAAAGTTTCATGCGTTGCTTTGCGGATGTTCATGTTAATAAAAATCATTTTTAAATTTGAAATCTTTACAAAAATTACGTAGGATCTTTACAAATTAAAATACATTACAAACGTCATATCCAGTGTTGTATTATTATGCAACGTATTGTAATTTACCGTAATCAAAATAACATGATTAATTCAACACCGTAATTTCCACTAGGTATGTTTTCAGTTTTAACCGTTTGTACTTTTGTGACCAAGGGAACGACGAAACCTACGGACTGTAGGTTAAAAAGTGTGGTTGTCTGTATGAGGATTTTTATTCTGTGGACCAACTAAGAAAAATAATTTTATTGTTAAAAATATATTGGGACATTCAATTTGCCTAAGAAGTATAGTATAACAATACGGAATTCTGTCTCATTTGGCAATTTCGTATTCATACGTAACTTAGAGTATGGAAAGAAATAGTCTAAGATACGAAAGCGTCGTGATATGCCAAATGACATGGCGACATCATAATCTCAGTACAGAGTACTAAAAAAACCGACCTCATAAGTACGTGGAATTACGTCTATTTGCTAAGTTTTATTGAAATATCCCCTAGTTCGCCACTATGCAGGACTTGACACTGGAGATAATAAAAATTGGTTATCACTACTCAAAGTATATTGAGAGAAAAACGCCTTGAATTGGAAAAATTGCAAAATCAACCATTAAAATAATTGCTCCTAAATTAAAGTTTAGGCGCTATTTAAAATGAATCTTCATGCGTGAACAGCCACCCTTAGAGATGGATGATTTTCTTCAAAATGAAATGGGACTACTATGGAAGTACCCCCTTTCCAACAAAAAAAAGAATCATGAAAATCGGTTCACAAATACCGGAGGTATCGCGTAACATATATACAAAAAAAAAGAAAAAAAAGAACATACAGTTGAATTGAGAACCTCCTCGTTTTTAAAGTCGGTTACAAATTATTTGAGGGACTTTTACTGTACTTAATTTTTATCTTTGACAATTAAAGATGACGAATTTATTATTGCAGTTTTGTTTAAATTACCATTTTATTTATATTAATTAATTAATTTAGACTGTTACCTATTTAATGACATTGTAGCAATATGGTACTTTACGTTATTTTTAATATTGTTAAAAATTAGGATTCTATACCTTGCCAATTGTGATTTTTTTTTGTAGCAAGATCAATAAATGAATTTAATTGAATAAATACGATATAATCTTTAGTACTTACCCAATTCCTTAAAGATAGAGTGTCGGCACCCTCTTCTGTGCACCAAGTGATAATTTATTGCCAAGCTTCTTGTAGCTCTCAGTTTTGGACCTAGATTTTGGTTTCTCGTTCGTCTCTACTGGACATCCTTTCAACTCCCACACCAAATTCGTCAAAGATTTCGGTCTGCTTAGCTTTCTTGATCGTTTCTCGGGTAATTTCGGCCCATTCCCGGAATCACCCGATGTACGCCCGCCAGAATGACTCGAATCCAATGTCCCATCTAACTCCATTGCCTGATGGATATTTGAAAGACTCTTATATCTTATATTGAAGATCGGAGAATCACCTTTGATAGGCCTCACTGGACTAGCTATAGGACTAGGTGCTTCTTTAGTAGGAGAGTGGCTTGTCTGACGAAAAACCATCCTACTTTTACCATTATTCACACTATTTTTAACATACAATTTGGGTAGATTTGCTGGTGGTATGACGGACGATTTGTCTTTGTAAACTGTGACTGGCGTTTCTTTTACTGTTGATTTTCGAGACCGTTTTTCTGCTTTTGGAGGGTTCAGAAGCTTTTTGGTTGGTATGGTTTCTATTGGAGGAGGTTCAGGCTTTATTTCCGTAATTAGAGGCATGTGGATTGGTGTCGGTGCAGGAGATGATGGGGCAGACTCATGCTTTGAAATTGGTTCATTTGAATATGATGCTTTCAAGTTTTTGGGTAACGGAGCGAACCCTCTAACATAGTCGTAGATTTGATCGATTTCGTCATATTCATCTGGAATGCTATTCTCGTCTCTATGGCTGCTGTAAATATGGTTGTGTCTAGATAGATGTTTGTGCTGATTAGCGGTATCCGAGGAAGCGCTTCTTCTCAAAAAGTAACCAGTTTTGACTAATGGGGGTGCATGCATGGGAGCATTTAAAAGCCTTTTGGGGTCGCCAAGTTTGCCATCCAGAATATGAATCCTATCGACAACGTCCACAAGCAAACGATTGCACTTTTCCACTAGCCTTGAAAACTCCATGAAATTTTTGATTTGTTCCTCGTTTTTACATTTCTGCATTTTTAGAGGAGCTGCTAAAGGCAGAGCAACTAATGCATTACCTTCTTTTTGCAATGGTAAAGCGAAAACATGATCTTCTTCGAACATTGATAACAATCTTAGTTCAGGCACGAAATGATTTTGACTTTTCAATCCTCGCGGCGGAGTTCCATGCACCAATCTCACTGTAATAGGCAACCGTTTAGTTAACAAAGTCTTAGCTGTATGCACGCCGCTGATGTTCTCCTCTTTGGCTACAGCTGAAAATTTCCCTCTCTGGTCTAATCCCAACAATATTGTATCACCTTTCGTATCAGTACATTTCAAGTACTTGCTTTTCCCTAAGATAGCTTCTCCTCTTGGCATAATAACTTCTCCAGCCGCCAAATTTCTTGCTCCATCAGCTGTTATATTTCCGTCTAGATCTAATTTTGCACAAATTACCCTCATAGACTCTCTTACTAAGCACCCATCTTCCAATTTTCTTCTTGCCAGCTCAGACACTGATTCAATACACCTAACAGCACGTCCTTCTTCACTAAGCAATTCAAAGTAGCCTTTGTAAGAATCTGGGATTGCAATTCTAGGGCCCACACTAACCATGCGCCTTCCTTCTTTAAGTTTAATAGCTTGGGCGATTATCTTCTTTCTTTTTCCCGCTGATATGAGTAGCGCTGAGCTTTGTAAGCCTGGACTTGGTAACGTCGGAACACCAAGACCTCCATATTGGCCTTTGATGATCTTCGCAACGGTGGGGAGACGATTTTTGGAAGCGAACTCGCGGAGGTATTGACCCTCGTCGCACCAGCGTGATGCAGCTACCACCACTTGGCCGTCTGTGGCTGCCATGGCGATGGTCACATCTGGAACAAAATAAATTAATGTTATTATATTAAACGTATAAATACCTCATCTTTGGGATTCCCTTTACTTTGAGTATCAAAGCAATGGAATTCAGTCTGTGGCACTATCCAGGCTGCCCAGACCAGACGCAATTGGTTCTACCGGGAAATTCTCATCCAGCGCCCATAATGCAAACCGTTGAACCAACGTGTACGTTAATTTTATTTGAGAAGTGACAAAGATGTATTAGGAACATTACCAAAACATTTTAATGTACCTACGTTAAAATTTAAAATGATTTAGTTCCTCCGCATCATTTCTAAGGATATTAATGCAATTGTAATTGAAAAATAATCAAACACAGGAAAAGATACAACTCATATTATTCGTATCTATATTAAATTCGCACAAAACTTGTTTTTTGAAAGCAATTGAATGAATGTACGTGAGAAATTGTAAAGTACATTTTATTTTGAAATGGAAGTTTCTTGTAAAGGTATTTACTGCACTGCGATAACTGGAAACTCAATAGAGGCTTGAAATGGATTTCTTTATCGGGTGTAAGTACTACTAAGTCAATTTAAATAATCGATACCAGAATCTTTCATGTATTCGAAGTATTAAGAATGTCATTTACGGATATTAAAGTATGTTGTCGGAGTAAATAGCATTTATTTGTTTTTCAAAACTGACTGTTGGCCGTAACCATGGTTTGTTTACGGAAAACGATCCGAAAAAAATATTTAAAGTCCAATCGCAAAAACCTAAGCACTCGAATGTCATATTTGTAGCACCATTGACAGAAGATTGGACATACGCATAAGTATCTCCATTTTGGTAAGTCATAATCATTATGCTAATAATATTGCATAATAAAGTTTTTTCCCTCACGAAAAGCAATGTTAAGGTCATTGTCCACAAACAATGGCAGTGGTGTAACGCCGAATAACACTACGTTACGCGCCGACGGGTGCGCGCGCGCCATTATGGTGGAGATACACCGAGATCAAGGTCGGAGAAAATATCGAATATCGTTTTATTTTTTAAACGGACTCTACACAAAATAGTAGTTATTTTCAAGGTACTTCCAAATTAAAAAAACAAACACTTCAGAGCAAGTTTTTTTAAATGATGTCGAGTGACAAGACGAATAAGTACGTCCAGTGAAGTACTGTAACCATATCTATTTTTGCCGCCAAGCAGAAATGTGAGTTTTATTGTGTTTTGGTTTCGAAGGGTAAGGCTGTCAGTGAAACAAGTCAAACAAACAAAAACTAATCCGGTTTAAGCCATTAATTTGCCACACACAACAATAGAAAACAATACAGCAACAGTGCGTGGTAGGAATTGGCTCAGGTTCAGTACGTGTGGCTGTGTGACACGGGGGAATGATCTTCAGCAAATTTATATCTTACGACAAAAATTATGTCTCACGGTGCAGTGGCAGTGCCCCTCAGATCTTCGCGACTTAAGGCTCTGATTGGCATTGTAACTATTCTAGGTAGGCGTGTCACTTACCGCCAGGCGCACGACTTGTTCGGTGGGCTCCTTTACGGAGAGGTTATGTCGCAATAGGAGGACGCGGCGCTTCAGCGCAGACGTACGGGGAGAATGCGAAGGCAGTTCGCTGCTCGCATGATCCTCTAGTGAGTCCAGCGGGCTCTGGACAGGGCCTCCAGAGCCTGCATTGCACGGCCTCACTCGTCTGGGGGGCGGGTCGGAGGACAACTGACCTGCCCCTCCGTTGGCGCGGGAGCCCTGGCGCAAGCTAGGGCGGCCGGGCGGCGTCGTGGTGAATGTGTACCGATGCCACGGCGCCGACTCAACCAGCGGGAAGTAAGCCCGGGAAGGTTTTAGTGGGATAGGCCCTCCAGTCTGGAGGGAGAGTCCCCACATAACCCCTGAGTCTCCCTGGGCTCAGGAGTATCTATAAAGATTTCCCCCCCGTCAAAAAAAAAAAAAAAAAGGGTTAGCTCGTCTGCGTAGAATAATTACTTCGAGTAGCATATCATCCAGCGCCCACAGTAAACACCGTTGAGCCACCGAGATCATTTTAGTATTCTGCTCTCAGTGTGCTACGAGGTTAACCGGTAGCGTATAAACTCTTTAGTTTTTAGCACGAAATCACCGCGCGTCTGTGATGTAACGGTGCCGACCTGCCATTGATTCAGTTAAATAAAACAAAACTTTTCTTGTACTCACTCGTACTCGTTATTTGAATCTGTCGACTTTTATACAGGGTGAAGAGGCACATGTAGACTTAATTTTAAGTGAGACTTAAATTCGTCTCTGTGCTGCTTGAGACGAATTTAAGACGTTTCAAAGTGGAAAACTTGATGTTCTCTTGACTGTACATATTTTGTTATTGCTACAAATAAATAAATAATATTTTTTTTATAATATCAAGTGACGGGACGAACAAGTCGTGAGCCTGTTTGTAAGTTACACGCCTGTCCATAATAGTTGTAGTGCCACTCACGAGCTTTAAATCGCAAAGGTCTGAGAGACACTGTCACTGCGTCATTCACCCTGAGACATAAGTTAACAAGTCACATGTGCCTGTAATTTCACCAGCACCCTTACCCTTCAAAACCGGAACACAGTAATGCTGACGTTACTGCTTGGCGGCAAAAATAGGTAAGGTTACTACAGTACTACCCTGAACGAATTTTTTCACATGCAGCTGTGGTCGTTGCACCGTACAATATTCTAGTTAACTTAGCAACCTAGTCATTGTTAAATGTTAATGTAACGAATAAACTTTTTTTTTGTGTATTTTCAAGACGTGAAATGTAAATATCATAACGAGGATTTCAAATTTGGCAGGCGTAAAATATAGATCTTACTAATTTCTTTATGTGTTTGTTACAGATCCCTGTATTGGGTTAAAGAAATATAAATATCGTGGTAGTAATACTCTGTAATTAGTCCCGTAGACTTTCTTTCTACAGCACGGCTAGGGTTAGCTCGTCTGCGTAGAATAATTACTTCGAGTAGCCTACTTCTTCTTCTTCCTGTCCTTATCTCATACTGTACGTGTAGGCACTCTCGAAGAACCGTATGAAGTCAAGTGACAGAGGTTTTTTTTTATTTTTTTATTGTGACTCGGCAAAATGACTGCACCGCGCCTGATGGAAAGTGCGAATACAGTCCAGAGATGAGAGTAACGGATGGAAAACACAAATATCTTCACTCCGTCACTATCATTTTGCCGGTCTGGCCAAATGCTTCTTCACACTACGTTTGAAGGACCCGATGTTATAGAGGGGAGGGAATACATGTGCCGGGAGTTGGTTCCACAATTTGATGGTTCGGCATAGAAACGAATTGCCAAACTTTTTAGTGCGGGACGGTTTTGAACTGACCGTCCAACTGTGGCAACGCAGTCTGGCACGGGTGGTCCGCTGATGGAAAGGAGAGGAAGGGACAACCTCTATGAAAGGTCTATGACAACCCTGTACACTGGCTGATCTGGGGTCAGAACCTGAACAGGTCATAGTGCCCTTAATAACCAAGAGGTTGACTGGGAGGGACACTATAAGAAAACTTATGTAGAAATATATGGGACTGTCCTTATCCTGCAAGGCAGGATCGGCAGAACAGGTATTTTTCTTCCACTCTCCCTTATCAGCCGTCATTACCACACTCACACCTTTCTTATCCATGTCATCTTTCATACAATCCATCCATCTTTTCTTTGGACTTTCTCTCCCCTGATATCTCTCGACATTCATACCTTATACTTCCTTTCGCATGACATGTCTTTACCACTCTAACATTACTCCTAATCTTTTCCCTCACTGGCGCTTCTTTGAAACTTCCCCTGGTGTAATCATTCCTTATCTTATCCTTTCTCGTCACTTCACACGTCCATCTTAACTACTATACTGTATTAATACTCATTTTCATTACAAAAGGTACAGATATGATTTTTGTTTTAAATTGAATCCCTTATAATTATTAATACAAAGATCGAACACTCAGAAAAAATTCCTTCGATCCGGTCGGATTCGAACCGACGTCTTCTTGCATACTGTCTTTGTACTTGGTTTTTCAACGACTTTTTAGTCGTAGCGCCATCTATGAGAAATCTATGACAGATTTATCACCCAGTTAGTACCTTTACAGCTACCAGTCCTGGCGAGAGATGTCGCTATTCACTGTATTTATTAAATTTTTGTTAAATTGATATTCAATTTATTTTTGAATCCCTTACTTGAAACATTTTTGGTTCTCTATAAAAATTTTCATCCCCTATTTCACGCACTTTAAAGTTTAGTTTTGGGACAAAAAGTAACCTATACCCTTCTTCTAGGTACCATCTGTCACTATAAAAAAATTCATCAAATTTGTGGTTTATGCTTGAAAACGACACAGACAGAATTACTTTCGCATTTATAACAATATTAGTTTGAATTTATTGTAATAAATATTGTACTTACTTTACTTAAACTTATGTCCTCGTTTACATTAATTTAGTGTTTTAGTAGAGTTGTTTAGTACAACTTTAAAGCTGCGTAATAATCTAGTTGATTTAAGAAGAATTTACTTCGGTATCCATTTTATGCTATTTCATTAAACTAGTGTAGCCATTTGATAAAGTACCTAACTAGAACAGGAAAATTACAAAATCGAGTTGTTTTATTGCATCCCCGCGGTATAAATCTTATACAAATATTTTAGTAGCAGTAGAAGTCCATATGAAAGAGTTCGTCCAGGGAATTACAGCCACTTTACCTATTTCTGCCGCACAGCAGTAATGTGAGTATTAGTGCGCTCCGGTCTTGAAAGGTAAGGGTGCTGGTGAAATACAAGCACTAGGGACTTGTCAACTTGTGTCTCAGGGTGTCGGTTATCTAAAAAACAAGCGTGCTGATTACCACCAGGCGCATGAGTTGTTCGTCCCGTTACTTAATAGTATAAAAAAAAATACGAGCAAGTACATCGAGAATCTTCTCTTATTATCATAGCAAGGTGTTAGTTACACCAGAAATAACCAGAATGAAATGTAAAAAAAGCA